AGCCCCACGGCCGCCTACCAGCCGCCTCCTCCTCCCCCCGCCGCGCCTCCGCCTCCTGCCCCCTGCAGCGGGGTTACCTGTCACGGGGAGCCCGCTAAATTTTACGGATACGATAACTTACAGAGACAGCAGATTTTTACGACACAGCAAGAGGCCGAGCTGGTACAATATCCTGATTGTAAATCGTCCAGTGCTAATATTGGCGAGGAACCAGACCACTTAAATCAGAGCTCGTCTCCTGCTCAAATGTTTCCCTGGATGAGACCACAAGGTTGGACGCAGTCAAAAATTTGCTTCCCTCTCACGTCTGGTTTCAAACTTTCTTTTCCTCCTCCTGCTTCTTTCTCGCTGACTCTCGCTCCCTGCCTCTGCCTCCCTCTCTCCCTGCCTGTCTCCTCGCGATTCCTATAACGGCGGTGGCTTGCGATAATAAAGCGATACAGTAAGCAAACAGAAACCTCTGCAGAAGGCGGCTGCCACCTCAAGAGTAGCCTTAAAGTCGCCTCTCGGGCACGGAGGCGCAGCCGACCGATTTGCCTGGCTCCCTCCACTGCCTGAACGGGAAGGGTGCGGGGCCAGGGGGGTACCGGTACAGCACAATAAAGTGACCTCGTAAAGTCGGTCCCGCAAACCTCGATGCAGGAAGAGAGCTGAGGCGCTTCGTGCATCTACTGTCGCCCTTTTCGCCGCAACCGTGTGTGCGGCTCAGGACTCCTCCGTGCTCTCTGCTTTCTCACCCTTGAGTTTCTGTGGGGCTTCTCCCTAGGGATTTCCAGAGGGACCCGAGTCCTTGCTCCCTGCCTGCGTTTTGTTTTGAACGAGCACAGCAACCTCCAAAACCTCGTGTTTTTGTTTTAAACAGCAGCGCCGGGTAGGAGAAGAGGAAGACAAACATACAGCCGATTCCAGACTCTAGAGCTGGAAAAGGAGTTCCTCTTTAACCCCTATCTGACCAGGAAGAGGAGGATCGAGGTGTCCCATGCACTAGGACTCACCGAAAGGCAGGTAAAGATCTGGTTTCAGAACAGAAGGATGAAATGGAAAAAAGAGAACAACAAGGACAAATTCCCCGCTTCCAGACAGGAGGGAAAGGAAAGGGAGGCCAAAAAGGAAGCACATGATCTGCAAGAAGACAGAGCTGAAGGCCAGACGAATTAAATTTTGCCCTAAAAGCCTTTGTGAAAGGCTGTCAAAAATCACCAGCAGCATAGCCCGACATCTCGGTCCGTCTGCCCCTGTACGTGGTCCTGCCCTGAGACAAGTGACCGCGTGTCCCTCCACTTGGCATTTCCCTGCTTCGGGTGCTTTGCTTGTTTGTGGTTTTGTTTTGTTTTGTTTTGGTTTGGTTTATTTTGGTTTGGTTTGGTTTGTTCTGTTCTGGTTTGGTTTTGTTTGGTTTGGTTCGGTTTTAACCGTATCTGGAACAATCTCTAGATTTAAAAGTTCATCTACTTATTTTGGAAATTTGATACAGAGTTTGTAGCAATACATTTCTAATTATATATATATATAAATGTTGGGGTTTTTTTTCCAATCTTGAAAGACGGTAATTGCGGGAAATGACCTAAACTTCCTAATAATGAATATCAATGCGCAAGATATTTAACAATGCTTTATTAATCGAGACAAGTGCACTTGTACTATTTTAATTTTTGTTCTTATTTTGAGTAAATTAAATAAATGTAATAAATTTGAAGAAAAGTCTTAGAAATATATTAATCTTCTGCTATTGATATTTGATTAAAATAAACCAAATTTATTCAAATATAAAACGTATCGGCTTCCTGATATCCTGATTGTGATCCACTCCTCTGGTAACCTTCAGAGCCTCCACATGTCTATTCTACCTCTCTCCTGCTCCTTTACCCCATCCTTCATCGGATGTTGAGTGTACCTGTGGGGTCTGGGAATGGTACCTCGAATACAAAACACGGTGTTCGCTCCCTGCCGCCTGCACACCCTGACATTGTCACCGCCATTTCGGGGGCCCTCAGCCACGGGCTCTGCGAGGCCAGGCTCAAAGCAGCGGCCAACGGCCCCACCTACGGCTAAGCCCACGCTCCCGGCTCTGTGAGTCCCCCCGACGTCTGCGTCTGGGCCCTGCCTTCAGCTTTTTCTGCACGTCCCCGCCCCGGGCCCTACAGTCGCGGAGCCGGACGCCGCCAGCTCGGGCCGCTTCGGTCTGAAAAACACAGCCAGCCCAGCCCCAGC